AGCAGCAGCCCCCGCCTGACGTCTCTGTTTACCACTCGCCCGGGCAGCCATCTGCGCACGCGCCTGGAGAGCCAGTTGGGAAACCGAGTTCTTCAGTCGTGCCACCCTGGTCAATCTTAAAGGACTACATCTCCCGTCCTACTTTGCGACCAGGAGCCTGATACCGGCGGCGGGAGAGCAGCGTGGCAGGATATAGGGAGGTGGAACTTTAATTATTAGAGGTCGTCGCGGACTATTTTCCTTTTCATAAAAATAATTTTCCTCCCCCTTCCCCTTCCACCTGCTCCCTAATTCGAGGTCTCCTACTTTATCGTATTGGGAGATTCTAGACCCTTTTCCTCCTTAAGAGCGACCAAGAGAAAAACGTTACCTCCAAGAAGCAGAAAACCGTGAAGCAAGAAGCAAGGAACTGACTAAAAAATAAGACGTATGAACGTTGGAGAGTTCGGTGGGAGGCTTGTATAACATAAACAGCCAATGGTGGTGGGCTTCTTCACCCGCCCCTGTCCCCACTATACACTATACACAGTTGACGCTGACGGTGAGATTTTTCTCACGTTTCCTCTGCCGCTTCTCCTGGACTCTCCTTAAGTATTGATATTCTTCTGGTTCCCATTTTAAACGGCTTTGCTTCTTATTTAACAGGTCCCAAACTGACCTCCTTATCTGTTCCTGCACCCACACCCCTACCCTCTGGCTACCCTTGATCTCTGAATTTGCCAAACCAATTTCCCGAGCTAGATCTTTTTGTCTCCCTACTTGCTCCATCCAAATCCTAGCTGGAGATCTTATTTAGGATTTAAATTGCAATATCATCTTAACTGGATCTCTTTCCATTAGACTTTTGCCACTTTATGTTCCAAGCTGCCAACATTGTTAGCATTCTAAGAAACGTGCCTGGTAATTCCAGCTAAAATTTATGGTGCTTATTATGTGCCAGTCACTGTGCTAATTGGTTTGCTCATTTACTTTTCATATCAACCCTGTGAGGTAGGTATTACTATTATCCCTATTTCCTTTTTTTTTTTCCAGTATCGGGGTTTGAACTCAGGACCTTATGCTTGCAAGGCAGGGACAATGCCACTGCGCTAAATCACAGGCCCACTATTATCCCTATTTTATAGATGAAGACACTAATAATTCTCAGAGGTAAGTGGCTTGCTCAAGGAGATAGGAGAATGACTAGGAGGCAGAAGACCTGATATCCTATGACTTATATGTGATCCCTTAATTTCCCTGCTTAAGACGTTCTCTGATTTTTCCCATTGCCTATGTGATTAAGTTCAAACTCCTTGGCAGTACTCTTCAGATTCGGGTCACTTCACACCTTTCCTGCCTCATCTTTTGCTAAGCATGCTAAATTCCAAGCAGCTAGAGTTCTCCATTATTTTCTGGAAATATCCAAACCCTTTTACACCTATCTGTCTACATCCTGGGATTTCATCACTTGTTATCCCCTCCTCAAGCATCTTATTTTATTATTATTTTTTAAGCCTCTTATTTTATTTATTTAGGTACTGGGGATCAAACTCGGGACCTTGTGCTTGTGAGGCAGGCAGCTACACCACTGAGCTAAATCCCCAGCCCTTCAGCCTCTTATTTTAGAAAACTATACAGCTTTTCCTGTCTCCTTTTAAGTGCAGCCAAGGTCTTTGTTTTTGGCATTCCCAAGCACCTTGGGCATGCGCATGGTATATGGCCCAAACTGTTTGTTTACTTGTCTGTCTCTCCCAATAAACTGTGAGCTCCTTGAGGACAGTAAGTTTTATGTGTCTCTGTGATCTCAGCTGAGTCACTAGTAGAAATGAATATTGAATGAATTAATGGGATCAGGAATCAAATGATACTACACTTGGGCATTTAACAACTTTTAAATAAATTGTGTTTTGTCTGCGTGGCCATGTTTTATGTTTTCTGCTAGACCACAGTCTTCTAGGGACAGGGACTGTAATTTAATTTGTTTACCCTTTGCAGTATTCCTTGATACATGTTCTGTGATGTTGACGCCTTCCCCCTGTGGAGGATATCCATGCAACCAGGGTTTTTCAGCACTGTCAGTATATTGACCTTTCAAAGTGATGTTAACCACAGTCCTTTGTTCTTCTACTCCAACAGGCATTTGTCTTCTGCCTGTCACCTAGATGGTATATAGAAGGCCATATATGCCTACCTGAGCTCTAGACTAGAGAGATGGGACATAGTTGCTCACAATGCCTGCAAGCATTTCCTGAATACTCTTCCCCCTGCAGCTCAGTCTAGAGAATCTGGTAAGGGCTTTATGGGTGGTGAATTCATTTGGTAGAGGAGAGAGCCTGTGGTCACTAAACAAGGAGCTGTCTTCTCACTAAAATAGGTGTGGTGGCATCTCATGTAGAGTTGCTGAGATGGGGAAATAGCAGGATGGGGTAAGCACCTGTCCTGGCTTGAGTTATGTCTTGCATTGTTTCCTCTTTGTGCATTTGTTTGAAAAAGTTCACCTGTCCACAAATGCATGTCCATTACCTCAAATTTCTAATTCAAAGCCTGAAAGTTGTGTGCTCTTGGAAACTTTCCCCAACTAGCCCAACCTGACAGATCACTTATCTCCTTGGCACCTCTGGATCCTCTATGAACTCAATTTGTATTCTTTAATTTTGTGCTTGTGGTTTCATGGATTTTCATTTCATGAGAGTATATAGTTTACCCCACTAGATATAGACTCTGTCATCAAACAAATGTCTGTTGAGCCTTCATGAGATGAAAGTATATCTTGAAACCTTGGACATATAAAATGACCATATGCCATAGGACCAGGTGGTTTGTTTGTTTGTTTATTTATTTATACCTGGAATTGAACTCAGGACATTAACATTTGCGGGGCAGGCAGTGGCACCACTGAGCTAAATCCCTGGCCCTGGTCCAGATGTTTTAGAAGGGGCAGGGGCAAGAGGATCAGTTGGGTGACAAATACACCATGACTTACTCACCTCATTACTGTGGTACTGTTAGAATACACCTCAATCAAGTAACAGTTTCAGCAATGTAGCTTTGGAAAATAGAAGAGACACTGGCCAGGAAAGAGGGCTAACAGGAGGCCCCCAGAAAACCACCTTTGTCTTAGGCTATGAATAGATACGGCAGGATATGGGAGGCACAAGCTTTTCTGCTAGTTAAAACCCCAGAGTTTATGTTCTCCAATGGCTCCTAATTCACTACTTTTTGTCTCTTGAGGATCACAGGGGTTTGGCTCTCTTGCCTCTTTCACTGCCACTACCCACTCTTCTACCTGGGTGCTGCCCCCACAAACTGGCTCTGTTAATTTAAATTGACATAGACATTTCTCCGCTTCTTTATTTTTTGGGGTTTGTTTGTTTGTTTGTTTGAGACAGGGTCTCACTATGTAGTTCAGGCTGTCCTTGATCTCACTATGTAGCCCAGGCTGGCCTCAAACTCATGGCGATCCTCCTGCCTCAGTCTCCCAGACACTGGAATTATAGGTGTATGCCACCACACCTGGCTTCTCCACTTCTTTGTTACCCTGCCTAGCTCTGAAAAAACACAACCCACATCTAGAGTTTTTTTTCTGAGACAGGGTCTCACTATGTAGTTGAGACTGACCTGGAACTCACTATGTAACCCAGGCTGGTCTCGAACTCACAGCGATCCTCCTGCCTCAGCCTCCCTAGTGCTGGGATTACAGGTGTGCACCACCACGCTCGGCTCAGTCTCCTCTTTTTTCGATGCTGAGGATCAAACCCAGGGCCTCATGCATGTTGGCCAAGCACTCTACCACTGAGTCACATCCCCAGCCCTCATACTTCTTTACTGAAGAGTTTTTGCCACAGATATTTTCCAAACAGCACATCCCCCACAAAAAAAACAGGGTTAAAAGGGACTAGGGGATATGGCTCAGTGGCCTAGTGGTAGAACACTGGCTAGCAATGTTTGAGAACCCTGGGTTTACATTAATGTAAATGGTCTCAATTTACCAATCAAAAGAAATAGACTGGTAAAATGGATCAAGAAGCAAGATCCAACAATATTCTGCATACAAGAAGCACATTTAATTAAAAAAGAGATTGTTCTGCCACTAAATTCTTCTTTCCTTCAATTGAAAAAAAGAGAGGATTAAAGCAAGTAAAATCTTTTAAAAAATTATTTCTAATCCTATTGCCCTCATACCATTTTCATCTTTATCAGTGTTCAGTTCTTATCCACAGACACATATCATTTTATATGGTTGCAGTTAGAGTATATATACCATTTTGCATTCTGCTTTTTTCCAAGAATGTATCATAAACATATTTTCATATTTTGCCTCCCTAATGAGGATTTTTAGCAGCTACATAATGGTCCATTGCTGGCACTAAATTCAATAAGAAATATCTCATGGCCAGGTGTGGTGGCGCCCACCTGTAATCCCAACACTCGGGAGGCTGAGGCAGGAGGATCACTGTGAGTTCAAGAGCAGCCTGGGCTACATAGTGAGTTCCAGGTCAGTCTCAACTTTTTGAGACTCTGTCTCAAAAAGAAAAAAAAAGAAATATCTCATGTAGGATTAACATAAGGGAAAATATCCTCAGTAACAGTTTCATAATACACACAGAAGAGATTTCCATATAACTTTCTTGTAACTATCCTGGCTAAAAGCCAAGGATAACATTAAAACTTGTGCAGGGGCTGAGCTCACATGGTTTAGGCATGTAACCTTCTGGTGCTCTAGCTTGATCTGAGTACACAACTTAAAATGCCACCCAAAGGAGTGGATGGATAGAATGTCCCTTACAATATATCCCATAAATATCTCTTCTCATATCCAGGCTTTTGATAGGACCACAGAGGCCTACTACAGTACATATATTCTCTGATGAAGGGCAGAAGT